AAATATATTAGCTGGGTCTGGATTAAAAATCCTTATGACCATCAAGGACAATGGAATGAGAGATCCAAGCAAGATTTTTGAATTTGAGCTAAAATAATAAATTTCGTGGGTACCTTCAAAACCACTACTAGAATTCTTTGTTCCCCTACCCACCTAGCTCCAATTCACTCTGAACAGAAAGGCCCTCTCTGATCACACTCTGTTACGTATGAATCTCTCACACAGGTATGGGTGGGTATGTCTGTACAAAACTACGATTCTGAAGTATTTTGGAAACGTGTCAGGGAGGAGAAGACTCTGAAAAAGAATAGAGTGTCTAATAAATCTTAGATGGCTAAGCAAATCCAACATTAATTTTAAAGTGTTTAAAAGAAGAATTTGACGATAAGACAAAAACAGATTTAGCAGCTTAATTACACTGGATGCCATTCATTGCATTAAATGATTAAAGGAGGTGCTACGTATATGCTAGAAAAAACACTGAATTGGCCTACATCTTAGCTTGAGTCCATCCTTTAATAGCTGTCTGATCAAGTACTCCTAACATTCTGTGACTCTTGTATGCTTTACTTAAAAAATGGGGTTGTCCAATATGATATATTAGGTTCTATCCAGCTTTGAAAATCTAGGATTTTTTTATCCACACAAAGTTTGTGTTTATGTATAAATGTCCATATGCAAAATAGGTATGTTCCTTTTAAATTTGATATAAAATTCCTTACAACTACTTTATACTACTTGGGGTATTTTACGTGTAAATATCTATCTATGTCATGTGGGTGACTCTACCTCATTATATTTAAAAGGTATTAATAAAAGTTCATAGACAGCAGTTACTCTTATTTAATACACAATCTTCATATGGGTTTATATCATATTAAATATGTTCCCAGTGGAGATCACAGACAGTTTAAGCAGTAGCATTCTGTGTATTATGAGAGGTTAGTTGCAACCCTATAGCTTTTATATGTAACCAGTAAAAAAATGTTCACATTAGTTTATTTGTTCAAGAAAGAATATCCCAAATTCAGGTGATCTTTAATGATCATTTATACCAACTTTCAAAAAAACATTTTTAAGATTCACACATGTTGTCACATATGGCAAGATTTCCTTCTTTTTTTAATGGAATGATATTCCATTATATGTATATACCACATTTTCTTTATCCATCTCTGGATGGACATTTAGGTTGCTTCTATACCTTGGCTTCTGTGAACAGTACTGCAAGGAACATAAGAGTGCTAATATGTCTTTGAGATCCCGATTTCAATTCTCTTGGGTAAATATCCAGAAGGGGGACTGCTGGATCATATGGTAATGATCACTTGGTAATATGCCAAGTGAAATAAGACAGTCATGAAAGGAACAAATACCACATGATTCCACTTACATGAGTTATTTAAAATACTCAAACTCATAAAAGCAAAGAATAGAATGGCAGTGGCGAGAGGTGGAGGGGAAGGGGAGATGGGGTGTTACTAATCACTGTGTAAAAAATATCATCAGATATGGAGGATGAATTAAGTTCTAGAGATCTAATGTATATCATCATGCCTATAAATAATTGTTATACATTTAAAAGCTATTAAGAGGGTAGATTTCACATTGTCTTCCTACCAAAATAAAGACTTAAAGACATTTTCTTTTCAAGTAATACCTAGCAAATAATACTGCATTTTCTGAAAATAGTAAGACTGTTATTACTTTACGATTCCTTTGAAATATTGTGTTCACTAACTAGATTTTGCTCAGTGATTCTCATGAGATATAGTAGAAACCATGCAGAGCAAAGAGCTACATGCTCACATGGTGTCCGTACTAATATTCCAACCACACCTTCTGTGGTTCCTCTTCACCACTGGATAGAACTGATTCTTTTTTTTTTTTTTTTTTTTCAACGTTTATTCACTTTTGGGACAGAGAGAGACAGAGCATGAATGGGGGAGGGGCAGAGAGAGAGGGAGACACAGAATCGGAAACAGGCTCCAGGCTCCGAGCCATCAGCCCAGAGCCTGACACGGGGCTCGAACTCACGGACCGCGAGATCGTGACCTGGCTGAAGTCGGACGCTTAACCGACTGCGCCACCCAGGCGCCCCTAGAACTGATTCTATCTTCACTGCATTTTTCTATTTTCTCTGGAATAAAAAAAAACCTTCAGTCTGGGACTTGGTAACTTGGCTTGGATACAAAACTGGGCCCAAGCTTTATTTATACTTAGGCCTACGAGAAGCTAGGAGGAACTGTGTCATTTATAAATTAAGAAATTGAAGGCTTTGCATCTAACCAGAGAGAAATCCATAAGCACTTATTACACTCATCTTGTTGACTTTTAAATATGTATTGGTAGCGTGAAGTTGTGACTGTCAGCTAATTACATACAATTTTATATAAAGAATAAAATAAGCATCAAGGAGATTTCTTCCTCCAGGAAAATGCTGTACATAATTAGTCTAAACACTCAACTATCAGCAAAGAATCTGGTCACAGCCACAAAAGGTATCCGATACACTTGGAATTCCAATTGCCAGCTATGTTCTTACTCCTGTTTATCTAAAGTCAAGAGGATATATTTTTCATGAGCTTGATAGTAAAAAAAAGAATACCGTCTAATAAAGGCACAGGGAGCAAGTTCTTACAATGGAAAAATCAAGTGTTCAGACTCAGATCAAGTGCTGAGACTAATTTATGCAGGGATGTCAGCTTGTCACATTGAATTGACCTTGCAAAGCAGCTAACATCATGCAGTCAGAAACAGTTTCTGCAGTGAAATCACGTAATTGTTTGTAATAGTACCAATAATATCCAAGAATAAGTTGTATATGCCTTTGTGTTATCCCATCCAAATCTTGGCCTGCCACGAGCATAGGATTCTCACTGCTCTGAGATTCTTTCGCTGTTTTCCGTCCTCACATCTCCTCCATTGTCTGCTCATTTCAGTTGTATTTATACAAGTACTTGCAACTGGTGGTCCTATCATATCTATCTTAGCTATAAATGAAGGCAACACTCTCAGATACACAAGCTTAACAGAAATCTTGTTTTTGAACTGCATTCTTTGCATATTTCAAACAATGGATTTTCTTTCCATTAAAGTACAATGGACATGTAAAGAGCCGTTTAATTATAAAGCATTGTCTTTCCATTTTAACATCTCTGAAATCAGCAAGAATCTGACATGGTATAATTGACAACATCTTTTTTCTTTCTTAGTGCCACATATGATAATGGTGCATCCTACACCAATGACATCTTAACATCGTCTTTCCTAGCCATTTCTTATGGAGAATAAAGAAAAAACCTTTTTTTCATAGAAAATAGCAATACATTTAAAAACACATGTTTTGACACTGAAAAGTTGCTCAATTTCTTCTATTTCTGAACTATGCAAGTACTATGTATTTAAATATGTATATACCTGATATAATAAGTACAGCTGAAGACTCTTCTGATTTCTCTTCAAGACCTCTAATAGTTTCACAGATTTTTAAAAATCAATCTTGCAATCATTTTCATATTTGTTGTGCCTCTTCTTAAATAAGATAGCACACATGCTAGCATTTCAATGTTTGACATGAGCCTCAATTCTCACTCAGAGAGAAGCTAAGACACAGATCTTTTTCTTTTCCCCCTCTTTTCATTTACATTCCCAGTTGCCTCAGAGATGGTATAACCATATAGAACACGCACAATAAACTAATTATATTTTTAAGTTTCTTGGAACAGAAAGAAGTTAGATGTTTTCAGTCAAAGGCCCTGGCGTCATACTGTGAATCCAATGTAAAAGAACAAATGGCAAAGGAAATTTTAAAAATGGAAAGTAGAGAAGAGCGAAGAGAAAACTACCAGCAGTATCTTATTTTATGATGCAAATAATCCCTTCTGTCAACACGAGTATTGACATATGTCTCAATTGACATACGAGATGGGAGAGAAGTAGATTCATTTCATTTAATCTCATAATTTGTAGCCAGATGGCTGGCCAGTGGAAGAAAGAAAAGGCATTCTTACATGCAGTACCTGACAGACCCAATCATCATTAATGAGCAAAAGTGGTTTAAAAACAAAATAAGATTTAAAATATCTTTGCAAAGCATTAATGTTTATGTATCTTCTCCTGAATTATAACCAGTCTCTGTTTTTTCATTTAAACTACTATTTACTTAGTTTTTTTAGGGTTTAATTTTCCCTTAGTCACTTATGAGATAGAAATAATCACCAGAATGTGGAAAGAACACTAGTGACTAAATGCTTAGAAAACTCCTTTTATAAAATATTAGATTACTGCCTACATGTCTGTAAAGAAAATCAACCAAGATTCAGGAGATTTGCTCAACTCCTCAAAATTTCCCAAGAACCACCGCCTCAACCGACATCATTCTCACCAAGATACTTCAGCCCATAGAAATAATTTTATAAGTAAAATATATGGCAAGGCATTAAATCCCAGAAAAAGTACCACTTTATATTCACCAGGGGAAACAAAGTAAGCCCCAAAGTAAAACTGTCAATTACTGTCATTGCGTTGTTGCAGTCAAAGAGTTTAATCATATCATGAAGAATTTTAGCAAGTACTAATTTAATTAAAATGTGAAATCTTTAAAGTACCTGCAGCTTCCCTTAGCTCATAAATTAGCAAATTTTTTTATTTAAATAAGAGTCCCTTCCCTATATTCACCAACTACATGCATGATGTATCTGAATAGTCCTATGCAAGCATTTTCTACTTCTCTTCATTTTCTCTTTCTCTTGTTTTCTTCTTTCAAAGTTACTTTGCATTCTTTTTTCAGACATCTGCATCCTTTGGTATCACACTTAAGAATCCAGAGAATATGATGGTCATTATGGAAAGCAATCACACTCTACATTGATGAATGACTATTTACAAAATGATTTCTATCATTTAAAGGAAAGAATGTAATTGAGACTTTAAATTCCAGATAAAATGCTACAACTCAAATGACACTGACTAGCTACAAGCTACTGGAAGTCACCCACCTGGGGCAGCATGCGATTTTCTTCCTCCAGCTGTCTTACTCTTGCCTCCAGCTGCCTAACATAGGACAAGGTTGATTCTAAAATTAAAAAGAAAGAACTCACATTATACACACAGGTCTTGTTTGGTGCACTGTCAGGATATTTCTGGTTCGATTTATTCACATCAGGCAGTGACTGCATAGTTTAAAAAAAAAAAAAAGATTTCTCCCCAGAAAAACAGGAACACAAGCCATTGAAACCACAAGCACTTTGAACAATTGTGCAACGTTAAGGACAGTTAGGGGAAGTTATAGGCGGTGAGATGGCAGGCTTTTGTACACTGTGCAACCCTCAGAATGTTAGACATCTTGAAGACACTTACTCCCCTTTCTACTTACTTTGTGCATTTTGAGCTTTCAGTGAGCTGTCCCCCATGTAAGACTTTTTATAATCTTAATTATAACCAAAATAAATTACAAGTCATATTAAAAACAAAATAAAAAATATTTCCAACACCCAGCTCCCTTCATTTTCCCAAATAAATACTTCAAGTCTTAAGAGCAACATTTATTCTTCTCACCAATCTATAGGTATTAGGACTATAATCCAGAGAACCGCTACAAAAGGGCTAAGTGGAATCGAGGCTACATTTTGACTTTGTTTGGCAGAGTGTGGCATAGATCCAAGCTTTCGCCAAATCTTTAGGTAAGCCAGGGGGGCCGACTTTAAAACTCCTTCTTGTTTTCATTTCTTCACAAGCTCAGGTGTGTACTGAAAGGTAAGAATCAGCATCATGCTTAGAGTCTGTCCCATGTGAACTCCAAAGTTTATACCTTTTTACCTCAGGAAAGGGCTCATAGGCAAAGGAAAGAGGAGTTTCATTCTGAGGAACAATCTGACAATAACTCTTCTTCATTAAAGCAAAAATATTCATGTGGATCATATAGCAACATAGTAGCCATTGATTCATGAACCAAGAACAAACCTATTTCAGGAATAGTAAAATGTACCTGATGATAGAATTCCTCCAGCATATTTCCATAGTTAATGTGAAACCTCAGTGCATGTTCTTCAGCTTCAGAAACATAAAACGGCAAGAAGCAAGACCAAGACGGTAGCGCATTTAAACGGTAAATATTTGGTGCCCCTAACAATCTGAAGTTAGAATGGATATTGATGCAAATTAATACCTTGATCTGAAATTCATCACGGAAACTCTACTTTATAATTTTTATATGGAAATTGGTTATATGAACTCAATTCCATTTTTGTGACCTTCAAAGCAGTAAGATAGCATTTAATTTTTCTAAAATACATAAGAAACTTTAGTCTTTAATTTGTAAATGTAACAATTAAGCTCATCCCTGACTGGTTTACAGCATGCCTGTTTTCACAAATATTTGCAGAAAGTCCCTATCACTGATGTTAATATAACAACCCACTGATTTTCCACCAATGGACAAGACTTAGCTTTAAGCATCCCTCACACAAGACAGAAATACAAGATAAAGGCAACTGAAGACATTTCCTAGAAATATGCTCTCATTTTTTTAGATCAATGAAATGTTAAATGTTTGTTTTATGGACTCTTCCAAATGGCAAATAAATAAATAAATAAATACATAAAGCATAAATGAATAACAAACATATTGATTTCATGAATCTACTTTAGCAAATGAATAACTGATCTGCAGATCATCAAAATATGAATGTATATCGCCTGATTTACACAGTTTTGTAAGCCTCACTCTCTACTCTAGAAAAACAACCACTTGAGAAGGGCTATCCAGGTGAAAGTTTGCTCAGAAATGTTCTGCTTAAACCATGAAGAAGCGTAATTCTTTTCTCCTTTGTTCATAATTTATACCTTATCTTTATTGTCCCTATACTGCACTATCCCCAAAGCAGCTGAAATGACTCTATACAGAGTGACTCAGGTGACATTTGAAAATGCCACTGAATAGATTTTAATTCAGTAACTATCTTCAGTCACTTTAATCTACTCCTGTTTTTAAGTTTTTTCAGTTTACATATTTGATGGCTTCACTAGGCGTCTACCTATATTATGAATGCCTCATCATGTCACTTCAAGATAAACAGGGTAGATTCCTGAATTTGGAAAACAGTCTTTAACTCCAATTTTTAATGTCAAGTTACAACAGATGAAGTTCACATCTTTGTTTCCAAGCATTCACTGCAAATATGGGCTGGGACAGGAAAAGGTAGCAAACATTTTTAGAGAGGTAAAATAATCTTCAAAAGTTAGCTGTATAAGATAAAGGCAAAACTAAGGAGAGTTGCGAGTTCATTCACTCAACACATACTTACTGTGTCACTGATTTGTGTCAGGCACTATTCTAGGTTTGGGATGAAGAGAAGGCCAGTTATTGCAAGACTTACTACATTTCTCAGAATACAAATTCTGTTTTAGGATTACATGCCCACATTGTTCTGTGTTCCAGAAGGCCCTGTTGTTCCAGGCGGTCTCTGTTACAATTTTTACCTACCAGTGAATGGGTACCACAATGAGAAAATTCCTCAGGGGATGGGGGCGGGGGGAGAAGGAAGCATAGCTGATGTGCAGGCATAAATGAGAGAATTCCTGCTGTTAGTTCTTTCATTCATCAAAAGCCTAATTACATAGTTCCTTAACGAGAATGGAATAGGCAAACATTTTTTTTCTGGAGCATCTCTGGTCCTCAAGTCACTATATAAAAAGCCATTGAAGAAACTACCCAATCCTTCCACTGTGACATGAAAGAAAAATAAGCATTCGTTTTGTTAAGCTTTTAGGATCGCAAGGTTTACTTGTTACTGCTCCATAGGCTAGCCAAACCTGATTACTAGTACATAGCAAATACTGGGACAGTAAACATTTTAAAAATAAGACATAATAGGATTGAGTATAAGAAACTCCATTTTTTTTTTTTTTGAAACTCCATACTTTTAAAATATATCACATTCTACATCCCAATTCCGGCTGAGCACTAGGAAAAACACAATAATCTTATAAGAAAGAAAAGAAGCCCCTTTTATGCTACAATGTATTTGGCTGCGTTGCTATAACGCCTTCCCCAGGCTGCTTCTTCCCTTTGCTTCCTCATTCAAGGGACTTCCAAAATGGCATCAACTATAAAATAAGCTGGTTTTCCATTACATGCAGGGAATGAGGACTATAGTTGAGTGTTGACCTAAGAGAAGTATCTGACAAATATTGGCATTCCTTTCTTTTCAATTGAGGTATAGTTGACATACGACGTTATATTAGTTTCAGGTGACAGCATAGTGATTCCCCAACTCTAGACATTATGCTGGGCTCACGGTGTTTTCCATTATAAAGTGATACCTGTACACACACACACACACACACACACACACACACACACACCCCTGCATTAGAATGTACTATAATTTGAATTGATCACCCACATTTTATACCAGTGGCTGAGGCTGTTAGAACTTAGATTTCAGACTGTCATTTTGGATTTCAGAGCTCAGGAGGCTCCTGAGAAACAGCCAAGCACTATGCCATACTCTACACAGATATACAATGTGTTCCAGAAGGATCCTGCCTTTCAAAAGTATATAACCACTTGTGCGGGGGGAAAGAAAAATAAAGGAAATGGTAAGGTAATATGAAATTCAGTGCTAAATCATGTGAAACATGAACACAGAAAGAGATCAAAATTGGTTGCAGTTCTTACGAAAGAGAAACTTGAGCTTAATGCATCAACGGAAGTTTGACAGGCCAGAGAGATCCAAGTGTAGCCACAGGATGGACAAGGACCAGAAGCCAAGAATGATAGTGTTGTAAACAGGGAAGAGAGAAAGGAGTCACACGGAGGAAGAAAGAGGGACATACTGGGGAGATGGAGGAAAGGCCAAGCTGCTTCCCACAATCAAGGATATGAAAAGCTAACATCAAAACAGTTATGCAGATGATGATTTGCTTTCAACGTCCCCCCCCCAAAAAAAGGTTTTTTCTCTTTGCACCGTGGGAAACCAAGAACATCTATACACGAGAAAAGCGAGGTTAAGCAAATATACCAATGTGAAAACCCTATGACATTGTCTAGATGTTCTCCAGGTAAACCTTGGGTGTACTTCCAAGCACAAACAATTTATTTCCATGTATCTTACTTTTCTTGGAAACTACATGTAAAAGTTCACAGCACCTCCCATGATAAACCAAGTGTAAGAACCAGTCAACAGTCACAAAACTTCCACCAAATTCTTATCTTCTAAATGGTTCCAATTTTCAAACTGGAATGTGCCGTAGAGGTTTCCAAGTTCAGCCTATCCCTGATCCCCTGACTCATTAGGCAGATAAGAGAACAAAACCCAGAGGGTAGTAAACTTGGCCCCTAACAATGGGGATTAAATGCATTCAGAAGAATTTGTTCCATTGCTGGGGCATCACGGTGATGGCCATCTTGGATCTTCTAATTATTAAGTGATACCAAGCTTCTTACATAGATAAATTCCAAGTTCTCCTTTTTTTCTTCCTGATTTTAAATATTCTAGATGGATCTTTACTGAAAATAAGTTGGTGTCTTCCTTGAACAATATCCTGGACTTGATTTCACTTCATTTTGCCTGAAATACATTCAATCATATAAAGTAGCTGGTCTTCTAGTTTGAAAATACGCTGATCAAAATGTTAAACCCTCTCACTTCCCCCTGCTTTCTAAAGCAGTGTTTCTCTCCCTAGGGGAACACCCACCCTTGAAATCACCCACGATTTATTCTGATTATTGTACATAAAGGTTTATTGTTTGTAGTTGCTACAGTCTAAGGTTTATCAACCTTCTGAGTGGTTTTGATTAGATGAAGTGCCATTGTGTCTCCAAAATTTCAGGGTAGAAAATAAAATCTAGTGATAGTCCATTCTAAGACAAATTATAGCATTTGGAAGAGTGCACACAGGAGGAAAATCACTTGGAAGACCATTGTGACCATGGGCAGATAAGATGGTAGCTTCTCAGAGGCTCTCTCAGACTTAGCCCCTTTCAGCCAGAGAGTCAAACGGCCACGTGATTTCAAATCTGGAGGCAATCTCTCCAAGAAAACCCAACTTCTAAAGACACTGCTTGGATTA